CCGTGCATGCCCTGCGGGCGGGCTCTGGGGCCATCTGCTTGTGTGACGGGCACCCGGAGCGGCAGTGCGTGAGTGCCTGCGAGCGTGCGAGGTCTACAAGTGCATCCTATCATGACAAGACTGCACGCGTGCACACCTGTCCCTGCACGGGCACGGGCGCTTATTCCCTGGAGGAGGCGTTTCTGCACTCTGGGTTCATGAGCCTCTGTGTACCTGTGCCTTTGTCTTGGCCCTCAGCGGCCTCTAGGCAGAGTTCATGGGCATGTCAGAAGTGACATGTGTATCTGTTCACGTGCCTCCACGAGCTAGTAAAAGAATGTGCCTTTGTGTCTGTGTGAGCGGAAAGGGGTAATGTTGTCCCTGGAGTTGGAGTGGGAATGTGAGGAATTCCGGAACATTCCTCACTACACCACCACAGCCTGCTGGAGCTGGGAAGAGCCTTGGACTGTTCCAGTCAAGCCCTTTGTTTAACAAAGAGGAAACAGAGGCCCAAATCAAGAGGAAAGCAGCCAAGCTTGATACCATATCTACTACGTGTTGTGTACTCTACCTACTTAATCGCCTCAACCTTTTGAGGTCTTCCATGTTAACCCCCTTTTACAGATAAGAAAAGTGAGGCCGGAAGTACCAGAAGAAAGTGACAGAGTAGGGATTTCAACCCCTCTGCCTGACTCCAAACTTCGCAGCTGCTCTACGCAGAGATTTTCAACGTCTGGTCCAGGGATCCCGGGGGTCCTCAAGAACCTTCCAGGGAGTTTTTGAAGTCAAAAGAATTTCCCTAATAATGATGAAACTTATTTGCCCTTTTCATTTTCATGCTCTTCCCGAAGTACCCTGGAATTTTTCAGGCGCTTGCTACATGATGGATCTTATCTATAATAAATTAGATCAATGAAATTAAAGAAATTTGAAGAAATGTAAAACAATGACACTCTCCTCCCGAATTTTTTTTTGCCTTGTGAAATAGTTAATTTCATTTAAAACGTGTGCTATGTATGTTATAACATGTAATGGGTTCATTATTGCTATTCTAATTAATATTTTAAAAATTCTCAGTAAATATCAATATAGTATTAATAGATACAACCCACAGAAACAAAAGCTCTTTGGGATCCTCAATACTTTTTAAGAGTGCTAAGGAGTCCTGAAACTGGAAAGTTTGAGAACTGCTCGTCTATATTATGTTACTTACAGGTAAGTGTGTGTGTGTGTGTTTGTGACTGTTGCAAGAGCTCATGGGTACAGTCAGGTGGCTGGGCTCCCAGTGTAGTGTTCTTTCCATCAATCCAGGAAACTGAGATCACTGGGTTTAAGATGCTTCTCCAGCTGTCCCCAGCCTCTGCCAGCAGGGGATTCTCTGGTCTGAGCTTAAGTCCATGTTTTCTCAGCCAGGGATGCCCCTGCCCTTTGATGCTCCCTTGCCACTGCCAGTCCAGCTGCCCGTGCTGCCCTCCCCATGCCAGCCTGTGGGAAGACAAGCAGTGGGGGTGGGGAGGGTGGCGGGGGCAGCTGGGCAACCATCCCCACCCGTCCCTGGCACGGCTTTGCCCAGCACACAAAGGGCAGAGTGAATCTTGCCCATCCCCTGCAGCTGAGGGGCTGGAAGTGGGAAGAGGGGAGGCCCACACAGAAGGAGTGGCTACCATGGGGCTCGCCATCACTCAGGGTTCTCGGAGGGGTTTAACCCAGAGACAGACAGAAAAGGGGAACCTGGGTCCTAGTCTTAGCTAGTGAGGGGAGGTGCCCTGGAGGGTGAAATAGATGATGATACTGACGATGATTGGACTTGCACATCGTGGTGTCATTGGATCCTCACAACAGCTTGGAGAGGGGGACAGAAAAGGCCGTATTAGTCCCATTTCACAGATGAACACACTAAAGCCGAGAAAGGCAGAATGACTCGTTCAGGGCCCCAGAGCTGGCCAGTGAAGCACCGAGGCCTCCATGTACTGAAGGAATGAACTACTGACCCCTCATCAGGAGTCCCCTCATGTCTGGACACACTCTTATCATTGAAGAGAGTCACATGTTGGCAGCATGCGTGCACCTTGCCCTGCGTGAAGCCTCGGGAAAGCATGGCCTCAGGGCCGGCAGCCTGGTTCAGAAGAAAGGCAACAAAAAACAGCCACGTAGCTGATGGGAACAGCAGTCTTGTTCTCATCAGGTGACAGGTGAGAGTGCAGCAGAGAGGCTGGGCGGTCTCTGAGGAGGAAGGGTCACTGTGGGCTGGGGTGGTGAGCACAGAGGAGGTGCTGCTGGCTCTTGCCTGGCCTTTTAGGGTGGGTGGTATTCAGAGCAGTGAAGAGGCATTGAGAGTGCACTTTTTAGGAGGGAGAAGTGGCCTAAGGAAAGGCCAAAAAGTGAAAAGCCTGCAGCAGGGGATTGACACCGAGAGCAAGGTGACAGGGGTGCCTGCCCAGCTAAAGGTCCCTCTCCCCCTTCCTGAGAAGGAAGGCAAGACTCCCAAGACCTCTGCCAGGTCAGTGCAAGCACCTGAACTTCCTTTAGGAAACTTGAGAGCACCCTTCCTTCCCCAACCTCCAAGTAGGCGAAAAACGAGTTAAAAAAAGAAAAAAGAAAGAAAGAAAAAACAAAGTTGTAAGAACTACAGCCTAAGGACAGCCTGCAGGGGAGACTGACAACCCAAGGGAGCAGAGGCCTCTTTCCAAGAAAAAGACCCCTTTCCTAGCAGCCAGTGATGGTGGCAAGCCCTAGGCACAGTGCCTGCTCAGAACGAGCTTCACAGCTGGACTATGTACCACCCCCTCCCAGATGCCCACAGGGCCCCCCAAGATGCTTGCCATTCTCCTTGGTTCTCCCGCTGGCCCACTGCCCACCTGGCTCAGGTCCAGTACGTGTGAGTCAGCCAATCAATCCCAGTGTTGCCAGGACAACCAGGGGCGGGAGTGGGGGCCCCGGGGGACAGGCAGGGGTGGACACTGCAGGCGGGCTGTCTTCTGCATCTGGCACCTGCATACAGCTGAAGCTGCACACAGTTAAGAGGAGGATGTTTCTTCCCCTCTTCTTCCTGGAGCCCCCTTCCCCTCTTTCACGCCTCCTAGGACACTTGCTGCTAGAGGCTTAGGCAAATATTTAAAGCAGCAGTTGGGGGTGAGGAAGGTGCTGGGGGCAAATACTTCCATCCCTCTCTCCTTCCCCGGGCTTCTCAGGAGCTCTCAGCTCAGATGCCATGCTGTTGTGCAACCTGGAGGCTGAAGGTTCTCCAGCTGGAGAGGGGGGTCCTTGTGGGGACAGGGGGACCTGCCAGAGCTGGAGAGGTAGGGGCAAGCTCGTGACTGAAGGGCAGGGCCAAGGTGCGGGGGAGCCCCAGCAAGGGACAGGAATTGGGGTGAATTGTTGGAGTTCAAGGACAGGGAGGACAGGGTGAAACCAAGAGAGGAGCTTGGTGAGGGGCCCTGACTTACACATGCATGCAAGTTTAGAGGTGGAGGTGCTGTGGGGACCACCTGGCCCAGCCAGTGGAGGGAGCTCAGGAGGAAGGATGCAGCCGTTAGTGGGTGTGGTTTAGTACAACAAAGCAACAGAGATGGCTTTGGGGAAGGAGGCAGGAAGGAGGAAGAGGGGAGAAGAGAAAGGTCCAGAAAGTGGTTCACATCTGGGTGAGTAGCATTCTCAGGGCAAATGTAGGATCCGAGGCTATACAAAGAAGAATGTAGAGGGGTTGGGTGAGGGGCAGCACTGATCAGGTGGGCCGATTCAAGGACAAGGAGACTGGGACCCCATCAGTCACCCCACCCAGTCCTATGCAAGGCTGTTGGGAGGAAGGAAGAAGTGTCAGGCATGGAACTGCTATCAAAAGCCTTCAGCTTGATCTCTGGAAATGGTTTGCTGGTCACTTGATGCCCAAAACTCCAAATCAAGAAGCTCAAATCTTCGTGTTCACTTTAAGAACATTCGTGAAACTGCCCAGGTCATCAAGGGTCTGCATATCCGAAAAGCCACCAAGTATCTGAAGAATGTCACTTTACAGAAGCAATGTGTGCTGTTCTGTCATTACAATCATGGAGCTGGTAGGTGTACCCAGTTCAAACAGTGGGACTCGACAGAGGGTTGGTGGCCCAAAAAGAGTGCTGAATTTTTGCTGCACATGCTTAGTAATGCAGAGAGTGGGGGCGGGTATTAGCTCAGTGGTAGAGCACCTGCTTAACCCAGGAGGTCCTGGGTTCAATCCCCAGGACTTCCATTTGAAAAAAAAAGATTAAAAAACAACTTTAAAAAACGCAGAGTCATGCTGAACTGAAGGATCTAGATGTAGATTCTCTGACCATCAAGCACATGCAGGTGAACAGGTCCCCAAGATGCAGCACAGAACTTGACAGAGCTTGTGGTCGGGTTAACCCCTGCACGACTCCCTCTGCCACATTGAGATGACTGATCCTCACTGAAAAATAAGCAAATTGTTCCTAAAGCCGAAGT